TCTTGAAACACTCTGAGCGTCAAGCAACGCACGGTACCCCCCCCCAAGAGCGTGTGCCTGTCACCAGATGCTGTGCACAGCGCCAGGGGTGAGTGACTATGTGCACGGCATCCGCCCAGAGCGTGTGCCCATCACCAGATGCTGTACACGTCACCGCGGTGAGTGACTGGGCAGACGGTATCCGCCCAGAGCATGTGCCCATCACCGGATGCTGTACACATCGCCGCGGTGAGTGACTGGGCAGATGGTATCCGCCCAGAGCATGTGCGTGTCGGCCACTAATCCAGACCACAGCGCTGTGGCGAGTCGGTTCATAGTGTCCGCCCAGAGCGTGTGCGTTCTTGTGGATGCATGTGTACAGCATCCGGGCAAGTGAGTCGGTGCACAATATCCACCCAGAGCGCGTACTCTCTCACACCGGTGCTAATGAGCACTTGTGGATGGAGCGGCGTCTAATTCGACCCCTGCCGACCCCTACTAGTCCTCATAACACGTCGCTCGACCTCGCTTCGCTCGGTCTCGCTCCCCCCACCCTAAACCCTATCAGTGTTAATGTTCCTGTGTTATTTATCATCCAGCTTCATTACCTTTTCTTATTTCCAAGTTGTGCATGCCATAAGGCACCCTCTAACCCAGAAAGGACCTCTGTTTAGAGGGTATAATGGAGCACAGAGCGCGATACTGAGGTGGGCGCTAACAAGAGAGAGCATACCTGTGTATAGGCGCCCGTCCCCGTGTATAAGCGCCCATCTCTGTGTATATAAGCGCCCATCCCTGCACATTTCCTAACTTGCAATGCAGCCTATAGCCTTCAAAGCCGGATTGCTCGTAATGTCCGCTAAGGTTTTAATTGATTAGTTTTTGGCAAGTATTATGATAGTATATGGAGGCTTACTGGTACGTGCCCGCTTGACTTGAATGTTGTTGTCATTGCTTGAATCGCCACCGTCATGTGGTAATAAGCGCTTGGTGGATTCTCCGACAATTTGGAAGTTGTTTCTACGGTGCGAAATGCGGAATGTAATGAATGAGTATGCAGAGTGATTGCGCGTGCGTCGTACCTTTCCAAAGTCAATAAAGACTTTTCGTGGCCTGTTGCGTAATCGCAGTTGAGTATACCACGCCGATTATGCTAGCTGGCACGGAGCTTGCTCGAAGTATCCCCCAACTCAAATGGCAGTAATAGTCCACCAGCTGTCTCGTCATTCAAAGTGACATGTCTCTCATGTTCAGCTCGGTAAATTTGGGGAGCATTGCGACCACTGCCATAAAGCACACCGGAAATGTCAACAAGAGCAGGACATCGCCAAGTTGCCACCAGCGCCCTCGACACATAGTCAATAACTGGGCGCTTTCCTTTCGCTTTAGATGTGGTATAACCCTTGTCGTGCTGAGAAACTAGGGTCCAGAGTCCAGCCAGCAAGGTATAAGTACTTCCGGTAGAACACTGATTAGTGTCAACAAAAGTCTCCTGTGCAGTTTACCACTGCGAGGACCTCTGACCTACCTGACACAACACACCACGTCACTCGACCTCGCTTTGCTCAGTCTCACTCCCCCCAACCCTAACCTCTGAGATTTTAAGCTGAGGGTGGCAACCCTGGCAATGAAACAAAACTTGGAGCATGACATGTACGGTCAGTGGAAGAACCCTTGGGCCTATCAAAAGTGAAGTAGTCAAGGTCTGCCACTGTTTGCTCTGAGTACTTGGAAACAAGCCCAGAAAGCAGCTACGTTGCCAGGACATTGTTTGAGGTAGTTAAATGAGTGCAGAGAGGAAAGTCAAGAGGTTGAGAATCATCACAAGAGGCATCAGACTTTTAGTGAATTTCTCATAATGTTAAATATATCCATGCACAATCTGGAAGCCATTCTAATATGCTAAGTCATTTCAAATTCCTAGCAAGAGTATATATAGATTGGTGGTATTTTTTGATCTGGCCAATTTTAGTCATAATTGTAGAACCCAACCATGTGAACAGCTGAGAACACTCAGTTCGAATGGTAAGAACAGGAACAAGTTATATTTTTTTGTTCTGTGAGAGAGAACTGTAAGTACATAGAAACAACAGAATAAATAATGGAATAAAGTACCTTCGTTCTGTGAGGGAGAACTAAAGAAAAGGAATGAAGAGAAAATGGTATATAAAGGTGAGTCCTCGAAGCACAAGTGGGGTTTGAAATGAGAGTCCAAAAGGGGTAGTGAAGTGTCCATAAGAAGAAAGAATTGATGCCATTGCGTGCCACCAAGCTCCTGCGTACTGACCATGTAACCGTTGGGTTACAAATTGTAGGGTTTATACAGTCTGCATGACATATACTTATATTGTATGGCTATATAATACCATATAGTTTGCAGCATCTATGCATGGCTCATAAGATAGAGCAAGCATACTGTTCATGAGGATTTGGCCACACAGGCTTTGCTTTCATGCAGACCATATGCTAATACATAGCACAAATAAACTTCAATTGATTTTACTATTGATAGCTATTAAGAAACATTATATTTCTATGCCATGACAAGCTTGAGCTCCCACTCACATGGCTGCTGCATGTAGTGGGATAGCTGTGGCAGGAATTATAGTACACCATTGTGCCCCGCAATGCATGCTCTTCAAAGACTGGCTTAGAAATGCTTAGCCCACACGGCTGTAATGCTAGTGCCAGCACTAGTAGGGACAGATGAAACAGAGTAGGATTCGCTTATAGCGAGCAACACAAAGTGCTCCTCATGGGGCATGTAGATGTGCAACGCAAGTGGGCACAAGGACGGGTAAGACAGAATAGGGCCCACTTATAACAAGTGGCACAAAGTGCTACTTGTGGTGCATGTGGACATGCAGCAAGAGCGAGTGCAAGGACAAGCGAGGTGGAGTAGGGCCCTGCTTATAGCAAGCGTGCAAAGCACTCATGAGGCATGCGAACGTGCAATGAGAGCAGACATGAGGATGGACACCTCGGTGGCAGCAAAGGCAGCATTATATGAGAAGTGTGATGAAAGCAAGGATATGTTTTGCTGGCACAGTGGCTCAGTCATGGGTGGGAAGACTAGTTTAGGAGGTGGTGGTGGTGGGACTTGCAGAGATAAGCCACGGGGGCCAATGAGCTCAGGCACTTGCATGGGCTGAACAGCTGGGATGGGCTGCTGGCTGCTACTGCTGATGTGTGCACTGGCAAGTGTGATGGAGCAGATGATGGTGTGATAAGCAAGGTGGTGGACTAAGGAAGAAATAAAATAAGAAAGTATAGAGCATTACACACTTGAATGATGACATACCCTAATGGGCAGACCTGTTCTCTCTCAGGCAGGAACTTGTGGTCTAGCCAGTATGATATATAGAGTGCTGAGAGGCAGTGAGGTGCAGTGGAATAGACATCAAGTGAGTGTGGGCAAATTAGATGGAACTGTATTCAGCACACATCTGCAGAGAGCCAGAGAGATGGAGTAAGGCTACATTCAGCACATATCTGTGCAGGAGAGCCAGAGATGTAGAACAAGGCTGCATTCAGCACACATCCACAGATAAGGAGCACGGAGGCAGGTGATGGATGTAGTTCAAGAGTGAGCATTGTAGCACCAAGTTGGGTTAGTAAGGTACAAACATGGGTGAATAATGTGTGTACAAGGCACCAGTAAATACAAGCTCAAAAATTGAAACAAAAGTTCAATGTCAAGTGTGTATTTTATTGCCCCACTCACCATGCCCACCAATCATGCCTGATTATGTCTTTGTATCTGCTGTATCTGCAGCTACTGATCATCCTGTCTGTCTAGGATTGGGTTGTGATCTGACACAGCTGTAGTAAGGCATGTGTGCCTCTAAATTGTAGTATCCACAATGTGTATATGTACATTGTATGAGAATGTTCTGCTGTGCCGCAATTCCATTTGTATATATTTATGTGCTCATCATTATTTTGTTATTACAAACACAGAACAAACTTGCCCTTCTTGTACACGGCACAATCACATATAAACATTTATAATCCTAATCAGAACACCTGTGAAGAACCAATGGGGAGCCTCCACAGGAATCTTGGAAGCTGCTGCTGCCTCTTCTGTGAATGAGCAGTTCTGGTTGATGAGCAGGCTCTGCTCTTCTTGCACTTCTTCTTGCACTTCTTGTGCTTCATTTTGCTGATCCTAGCATGTATTCTGTTCAGCAGCAACTTGTCTGCCAGTCAATCATCCTCACTTGAGCTCACCACAGGATCCTTGCACTATTCATGGCTACAAAGAAGGTACCATGGCTGTAGCTTGGCCTTGCACTCTGTGCAGGGGCATGATACCAGCTCTTGCTTGTACTCATACTGCATACTTACAATTAGATTCTGTGTTGAATTTGAGTAGTTTAAGCCTCCCTTTGTTGCATTTGCATTTCATGCACTTATACTTAATCTATCCATTCGCAATGCTGCAGAATCTGAGAGAGCTGATGTCAGCAAAGAGATCTGATGAGGTCATGGTTGGAGGAAAGGAGTGCAGAGCTGCTGCGCTCACTAAAATCACAACAAAATTCTGGTGTCCGCCTGCAATGACTGCATGTTTCGACACAATGGTGATATTGCTGAGCTATCAGCACCTGCCATATTGGGTGAGACGCTGATCGGTCTACTCGGCCAACGACGCCTCCGCAAGGCTCACCTTATGCTCGCCGGCTTATCGTGCACTTGGCTCTGCCGCACTTGCATTCACCTTTGTACACACAACTCATCGTTTTATACGAAGGTACAAGGTAAGTCTACCTGTTATCTACACCACAGGTGCAGACCTAGGCGGTCTCCGTCAACTATATCCCTCGACGCGGTGATGCTCACGGTCACAGGCGCTTCCGCGACGAAGGTGGCACGTGATTCATGCTAAACACGCGTCTTACCGTGGGAACCGCGCGGTAAGCAGGGCACCGCTAGCACCCTACACTCTATACCTCATCGTCCTCCGCCGTTGTACGCACGGCTGCAGTCATCATTTCGCATAGCGATCACAAGACAGTTGGATGAGTGGCTCAGGGCCTCGTGTCGCTGGCAAGTCGTTCGTCCTGTCCCCGAACGCATGGTCTGATCAGCGTGACAGAAAATTGGGATGACGACTTTGACTTCCAGCCTGTAAGCGAAAGTCATACGAACATCACATCCACACCGGCCAAGGATGCATCCCTGAGCCACAGAACCGTCAGTTCCGACACTTACGGCTGGGCTCAACCTGGTCCGTCCACTCCCCCCAAGAGAATCGGTGCCGACACCGAGAACTGGGATGTCGACTTTCAGGACAGCACCAACTCCCCATCGCACATGCGTACACCTCCTAAGTCGCGACGCCGCCGTGCGACCGAGAATTGGGACGACGACTTCGAGGACAGACAAACGTCTCCGAGCAAGAAAAGCGCGAGATGGGATTGGTCAGACGAGGAGGGGAGCGAGTTTGGAATTGGGGACAGAGAGGAAGACAGGACACTGACGTCGCGGTTCCGGCGCGGTGCGTTCCCTTCTGTTCTTCTCCACGAGTCCCCGCCACCGCCAGTGCCTCCCATCCCATCATCCTTCGTCGACAGTCGTCTCGATCCGCAGCCATTTCCAAGGTCGCCAGCTGCTTCTGTGTTTTCTGTTCCTGTGTCTGGGCACGGATCGGTTGCCGGGCACTCGTACTCGTCCACAACCCATCTCGCTTTACGTCCAACGCTCTCTACCAGCTCTTTCGGCGCTCTTCCACCCAGTCCGCCCACACATCATGCACGCGAGCGACGCCGACTTCGCAAAAAGTCTCGACCGCCACGCGTCGATGCAAACATCTATGAACTCGAGGACCAAAGCGACCCTCCTCCCGTCACACCGGAACGTTCAAAGTCCCCACCGCACGACTCTCCCCCAGATGCGACACCCTCGAGCGCTGGCAAAAGTTCGCTCGTCTCACGCATAGGTTCCGTGGGCAAGAAGTGGGGCGCGGCGCGCAAGAAGCGGGCTAGTATGGGTCCCGTGGATTTGGCTCTGGACGAACAGCGCGAACCCCAAGTTACCACCTCTCGGCCGGCGTCGATGGCGGTCCCGTCCTCTCCCCCAGCTTCGAGGTGGTTTTTTCGCGCGGGTGGCGGCCCTGGCGCGGGGACCGGCTCGCCACCAAGTAACGCGTCGACCCTACCGCTCAAACACGAAAAGTCCGTGGACAAGTTCCTGGCCATGGTTGGCCTCGACCAGCATGAAACGCCGTCGAAGCGCAAGCAAAAGATACGCCAGGCGCTTCCTAAGGACCTTACCGACATGGCAAGTAAGCGCGAGTCTCTTGCGCCCGAGCCGTCTGTGGTTGCTGGGACGCCCCGAACGCTGCGTCGTCCCCATGGATCTCGTCATGCCAGCCACAGTAGTCGTCGAACGATAAGTAGCCGCGGCTCCTCTGTGCCATGCTCCGCGTCCGCGAGCGTGGACGATGTCTCGAGCAGACGTGTCAGCTACGCACCATCATCTCAGGACGACGATATGCGAACCCCACGCAAGTCGCGCAGCAGCCTCGATCCTGAGTCCGGGAGTAGGAGTTTCATGGGCGGAATGCGGCGCATCAGCCTGACTAAAAGACATAGGAGGTCCAAAACGACTGTACACGAGAAAGACAAGTCTCCTGAAGGGCCGTCGCGCCCCAGCACATCAACTGCAGCAACTGCGGTGCCCCGCTTGTCCGAGCACACGGCCTCTGACAATGGGCTGGACATCACGCCCCGCCCGCCGTTGCGCATCGCCCCACGTCTTTCTATCGACGATAAGTCGCTTCTGCCGCCAATTGAGCTTCGACCGCCATCGCCATCGCCATCGCGTGAAATGAGCAAGAGCACGTCTGAACCCGTCGTCCGTGATAGTAGGCTAGATACAGCGCTTGAATCAGCGCTCTCATCCGTGCCGTCCTCGCATTCCGGCACCGTCAAGGTATTCGATTCAAGTTCGCCACCTGCGTCATCGACACTATCGAAGCTCTCCGTGTCACCGCAATCGGCGTCGCTTGGCCGCGCAACCCAACCACCAAAGGGCAAAGAAGTGGATATTCCCATTGCACGACGCAACTCCCTGGGCGACCTCAAGATTCCTACACGAATCAGCCAGGCTCAGGTAGGCCTCCGGAGAGACTTGGGTATGGTGCGGGATTTTGCTTACAGCGTCGAGCGTGAGTTGTTGTTCCATGTGCGATGCAACTGTCCTAATCCATGCCATAGACCTACGAGAGCTGCAGACCACGTATCACGGTCTCGTTGTCAACTTTCAGGCCATGCTGGTCGAAGTCGCGCCAGTGGAGGAAACGCAGCCTCGCGTCATGCCACCTACTCTCTTCGGCCTTCCGCTTCCTGGCTACAGGGCGCGATCCAACACGAATCCTCAAGCGTCGTCGCAGGCTTCCAAGCGAACGGCTGAGCACCGCGAACTTGCTGCAGCCTATCATAGTCTGGAGAGCAAATACCGCATAGCGTGGGAATGCGCCGAGCTACTCGTCGAGCTTGGCGGCGGAGCACCAGTGCAACCGCCGTCATCAAGTTCATCTGCTTTGCACACAGAACGTTCTCATACACCGGTGGCCGACGGACGAAGGAGTCGTGAAAGGGCAATCACACTCGCTGGCGATGAGACGAAACCCCAAGTGCCCTTCGTTGTCGCCGCTGGTTCGGCTAGTAACCCCTCGCAATGGCGTGCATCGACAGGTCGACACGACCTGAGCCATCGACAGCTGCTCCTGCTGCGTGACATGCTCAGTAGCCCGGACTTGTCAGCGATCGTGACTCTCGATTCGCACCCTGAGGATGTCAACAGGGATTGGCGCTGGGGCGATGCTATGAGCAGCACAGTCACTCTACCGAGCGAGTATTCGTCGCAACACGATACAGCAGCGCATGGATCGGCAACTGGTCCTAGGCGCAAGAGCGGCCGCCTCGGTATGCGTGCGCTACGAGACATGCTGCGGTCGTTGAAGAAGAGCCACGCTGGCAAACATGGAGGGCATCACTCGCCGACGGTTCCTCCGATACCCACATCGGCATCGAGTGTGTCCATGGGCACCATGTCGTCGCTCAACTTGCCGAAATCGCCGGATCCTTCCGCCGCTCAACGCCCACCAGCGAAGACGAGTACCGGGCCTGAGTCGGTCACGTCCCTCCGTGAACATCCGAATTCGCCGTATACTACGCCAGCGTCAGTGACGCATCGCTCATCGCCACGAAGGCCATCTCTCGCATCTCTCTTCAAGCTCGGCCAGAAGAGCAGGTCTTCGACGGCGAAGAGTAGCCCATCATCGGGCCCTGGTCGCGAACTGTCTAGGGACGATTTGCATGCGAGCTCTGCGAGCCCGTATCCCCCTTCGGCACCGGAAGAAGACTGGGATAAGATCGAGTCTGCGTCAGATTTGGAAGCTGTAGAGGCATCAGGCCTGGCGACGGTAAGACGGAAGAAGCACCGCTCGATGTACGTTTCCGCGCAAGAGGCGGCACAGGTTTCAAGAGGGAACCTAAATGCCAGTCAACTGTCTCTACCATTCGCAGATCCACCCCCAACACTGTCTCAAGCTCGAGCCCAGGTCCTAGCTTCCGACCTCGAGCGCAGCGGTTCGCATACGCGCTCGACGAAGTTGTCCGACGTCAAGGAGCTCGCCGAACTCGACGGCATGTCAGCCCGTCTGATCAAGAAGACAACTTCGAAAAGCAAGCGACAGTCATACGCTGGCCCCAGCACGAAGCGGCCCACGTCTCGAAATGGCAAAACGGCTCAAGGAACCGGCTCGCTGCGCTCCCCACCGCCGGCATGGCAAGGACCTGTCGAAACCCCCGACTCGAAGCAGATCCTATTACCGGGCGGTGGAGGGATCTCGCTGGCCATGACGCCGGAGAATATTCGCCCGCTCCTGGAGAACGCGCGGGACGTATACGTGCGGTGCTCCGAGTGCATCGTCGAGATGAAGTCGCTACTCGCAGCCCATTCGGAATTGGGTTGAACAGTTTCTCGCCCCTGCGTCGAATCGTGTACGTTTGATACCCGGTTCACAGTAAGTGCAATTCGCGCTCTTTGTTTGTCGTCCATCGCGTAATATTTGCTATCGTGCATACGTTGTCCTTCGCTTTCATCCCATTATACCTCGTTCGCATGTTCAATGTTCGTCATCCTGTGTCTGCACCCAATCATTTGTGTATATATACCGTCGCATTTAGGAAGAGATGGAGAAATATATGGACTCTGCATTGACGTTATACGCACATTGGGTGCAAATGTAGACTTGGCGCAGGAGGCACCTCGAAGCGATTTTCACTGCAGGTCCCATTTAGATGACATGATGGCCGTAGAGGTCCATAACAAAGGTCTTGAATCAGTCGGTATGAGAGTCCCGGTTTCGCCAAAATACTTTCAGGACGTTTTGGGAGGGGAGGCAATGTTTCGATCTGATCTGGGGAGGGCAGAGTATCAAATTGTATGGGGATGTCCGAGCCTCTGCAGCGGCGCCTAAGTGCTATCCGGCGGCTCCAAGCCTACACGACGACGTCCCAAAGACTCGCCCCTTCACGTATAGCTCGGGTGTGGACTGTCTCAAGCAGTCGGAATAGTTTGCTCCTGCCAGTTTATCATCTGCCCTTTTCCCTCTCCTGGGAAGACATTGCAACGAATACAGGGGAGAGTTCGAAGTCCGAAGTCGGGCTGATGCGACCTGCCTCTTACGGTTCATCGTCGGGCAAGCGTTTACAACCGGACGACCGACGCCGCTTGTACTTTCGTCCCCACCAACACTGCACTCATCGTCGTCTAGGATCTTCCTTCTTTTTTGCCGTGTTTATATAGGGATTGCATAATTTCCTCCAGCTGCTCTTTACTTTATCGCTTCGACCAGACAGAAATGTCACGGGCATATAATGCCGCCGTTAGAAGACTGGGCGTGGAATCTCCCCCGTTTGCGACTCAGCTGAGCAAGTGGGCGAAGAACCAGGACGGAGACGCGAGAAATTTTGAAGAGCTGGGACTATCGTATGCGACGCCCGTATGTATCATGAGTTCTTGACGAAATCACCGACGGCATATGTAAATCCTTGTCTCTATTAGCTGCCGTCCCACTCCCCGCTTCCCCATCGCAGGCAAGACACAAGCAACTCCAACCCACTGATAGGAGGAAACAGCGCGTTGTTACCTTCGGTTTCTCTAGGTCTCGACTCTACCCCCACTTCAGGCCCCTCAGCCCCGTCGGACAATGGCTCAGGCCAGTCCTCCGCAGTCCCGTGAGTCCGACGTTACAGATATATATGTCATAGCTTTGAACAGAATACGTTAGACCTCCATCGTCCCAGATTCAGGCTCAAAGTCAGTCTCAAAGTACAAGCCAAACTCAAGCGACGTCTCAGACTTCCGGTCTACCGACGTCCGATACCTCTATACAGACATCGTCATCCATACCGACTTCACTATCCTCTGTCATTCGGCCATCTATAATTCCGACCACTCAGCAGACTTCGTCAACTGCAGCTGCATCGACGTCTGCGACCACATCTCCGGCCGGTGCTTCATCAAGTAGTCCTTCGACGTCATTAGTTACCAGCACTCCGGGAACAAGCACGCCAGCACCAAGCCCTACTCCGACTGGAGAATTAAATGTTGGCAGTAGTAGCAGTAGCTCGATCAGCACCTCGAGTGGTATTCTCACGACCATTTACTCCACTGTTACGACGAACGTCAACGGCCAGCCTACAACAGTCCGTATTCACGCGCTGCCACGATTCGTACTGTGTTGACGCTTGCTCTTAGTTCACCACTGCCATACCTACTACTCTACCGGATCCGTCCTCGTCAGGATCATCAGGTGGATCGAATCGTGCCATTATCACGGGCAGTGCCATTGGCGGGACGGTGTTCGTCATCATCGTCGTCGCCCTCGTGATCTTCTTGCGGCGCTCCGACAAAATCCGGATGAACTACAAGAAACTCAGGGTATTTGGCAGGGGTAGACGTAGCTTGCTGGAGGACGAAGATGAAGACGACTGGTTGGGTGATGCCGGACTTGGCACCACGACGCAATACCGCGACTACCCAGCATCGGTCGCGTCGTCTTCGCGTCCGTTCAGTGTACACAACCGCGGTACGTCGGCATCAGGAGCTTCGCATCCGCCCTCAACTCCGATACCGCCAATGCAAGAATTTCATGCTGCGTCGCCGCTTCAGTCCTCGTCACCGTACTTAATGGGCATGCGCGCGGCCTCCTCGGGCAGCATCTTCCACGAATCTGTTTGGCCGCCTCCAAACGAAGGCAGCCGCTTCGTCGACCCACTCGTCCAAGGCTCGAGCCAGGTTGATCTCACGCGTATTGTGCCTGACGTGATGGGCCCCGACCAGCAGACGCGAACAGTCATATACGGTACTCCCGTTGTTGTTGGCGACGGCTCGGTCGCACAGCATGGGCGCCCAATCTCGCAAGCCGGTCTCCTTTCATACCCATCGGGTCCAGCAAGCCCCACAGCGACGACAGCGACGCACCAAACGACCTTCACGCAGCAGACTACGTACACGACGCAGACCGCCCCATCACACCACCCCATGCCGTCCCACTCGCTCAGGCGCTCGTGGGAACGCGCTCAGAACCAGCCGATCAACGAGTCGCTGTATGACCCCAACCGCGATATCGACTGCGGGAACGCTGGCTCGCCGGTCGTGGAGCCGCAGCAAATGCGTCTGGTAATCAAGAACGCGGAGCCGCTGTCGCCGTTATCGCCGACGCCAGTGGAGCCCGACCAGAGCTTCGCTCAAGCGCAAGCAAAAAGGGAGTCCGTCATCAGCGGCAGCCCGCGCTGGTTAGATAGGCAGATTAGGAAGGAATAGGTAGCGCTGACATGCCTCTTTGCGTGGACTGACGCTTCTCATGACCGCACATCTAATTAGCAGAGCACGATGCCGGCGTTTATGTCTGCGCATGCGCGATGTCATACTCTCTTTACACCTATGCTTCTCCAGTGATATCCTCATCTCGGACCTTTCGGACTTGACATGCACGCACATACTATTACCAACGCAATTTTTATTCTCGGATAGTACGTAGTAGGGCTTATTGTCTGGATCTTCCTTCATCGCTCGTCTGATACTACTCGACGCTTTGCTTCATTTTGAGATATTTACACTACGGGCATGAGCTGGTTTCAGATCACCTGAAATGTCCTGGTCAAGCCATCAAAACTGTTTCATTTTCGAAGACTTAACCGGGGCTTTCTGGTGTCCCAAAATGATAGATTTGCTACCACTTTCGTAGCCATTTGCGGTGCAGGAAAATGATAAATTTTGTGTAGCCTGAAATGAACCTGAAATGACTCAATATGGCTACATTTCAGTACAGCAAAGAGTTCATGTTTCAGGAGACTTTGTGGCGCATTTCAGGACATCTGAAAGAACATATGTAGAAATCATTTCCGCCTCATGTTTGCAATGAGGAAAGGTCCGGGCAAGGAAAACTTTTAATGATTCTAAAATTACCATTTACGGCAAATTTATAGTACATTTCTAGGACGTTTCTGACTTATCTCAGGTAAAAATCTTCTAGCTCATAAAATAGCTTCAAAATCCATCAGAAATGGCAATTTCAGGACCATCAAAAGTTTTCCTTG